CTCCAAGCTTGACATGATTAACATCTCTGCCTAGCTTAAGGGGAGTGCAGAAATATTAGGAAGTAATCTAGGAGAAGAAATAGGAGGAGAAATAAGATCTAAATTTGATATTAGAATACTGATAAGAGGAATGTTCCCTAAATGCTTTTAGAAGAATATTTTCTTTTGCACTTTTTGGGGATACAAATATGGTACTTTTAACTCTATAAGTAATGTAATAGTGTACCCTAAATGCTTTAGAAGAATGTTTTCTTTTTACTTTTTGGGGGATACCACTAACTCTATAAATAATGTAATAGTGTAGAAGCAAAAATTATGAAATAAAATTTACAGCTTTCTTCAATAGCACTTGATTAAGAATGGATTGAAACATTGGCTATATAATTTTAGAAGTTTAAAAAGTCAGAAGATCAATCTGAATTGAGAATTCTATCACTAATGATAGCACTTGACTGAGAATCGATTAAAACATTGCACATAATTTTTTAAGTTTAAGAGTTGACTCTGAGGACTGAAGTTTAGCCAAAACTGATTGACTTGGAGAAAGGACTAAAAGTTTTTATTATTAGAAAGAAATCCTTCTCAGCACAAGGTGCTGATGTTCATTTAGGGTTTAAACATAAAAATAGAAGCCTTCTTCCTTGAGATTCAATTGGAAGGTACAGCAACCTTGGTGGCATCAAAAAATTGGAGGATGGGTTATTTGCAGGCTATATATTGCACAGTCTAGTAGATGGATTGTAGAGGATCAGTGACCGATGCTGGTTTAAGCATTGCATTTTCATCTAAAATAATTACCTTACCTTCTTATCTGGTGATGAGGAGAAAGCGAGTTTCTTGGTGCTCTGTAACACATCATATGAGATGAATTCTGGTTTCTGATAAGTTGAAGCTATAAAGTTCCATGAAGGACCTCAATCTCTTCTGTTTAGCAGTGGAAATACAATTGGTTCAAAGTTTAAGCCGTATGGGCAGTAAGTAGATGCTTAATGTGAAAAACTGCTGTCTTTTGCTGCAAGTCTTTAGCTATGAGTTAACTTTGGAGAGTTAAAGAGGATACATAGAGTACTTAGCTTATGATGTAGCTGGATAAAGATGGAATTATATGTAATACTATAGGTCTTTTCATTGAACTAATTCCAAATTAACTTCAATATTTGGACTTGGAAACTCTTTTTACTTCTCTAAAGAAAATATTTTGACTTGCAAACTGAAGCCAAAAGTTAAAATGTTTATCTATATGGACAAAGAATAACTGATCATACATCTATATTCTCCTGCGAGGTAGTATCTTCTGAAAGAGGTTGATTTTAAATAACAATAGTTAAGTACTTGTATATATGCTGAAAAGTACATGATGGTTTCTCATTGTTCCTTTATAATCAACAGGACATGTGAAAGGCTGTGGTTCTTTTATTAATCATTCTGTTTGAAACCCTTTCTCATTAGAAGTTTCCTTTGCTGTTCACAAATCTTATATTCTATAGAGTACTGTGAGAAGTATGCGAAGGCAGAAGATGTTGGAGCAGCCGCTGAGGAAAAGTCTAGTGATGAGGAGTTGAGTGAAGATGATTATGGCTCTGATGATGAGGCAATTGCTGGCCAACCAGATCCATAGGTGCATAATGCACCTTCTATAAGAAAATATATGTACATGAAATCATTTCCTGGAAATAGAATTTGACAATCTCTGAAGAGCTATGGAAATTCCAGTCCTTGGATCTTTATTTTCCTTGGAAGATGTGTAAATTAATTAGCTCTAGCTTACTGCTCCAAATATTCATTTGCTTGTGTTGGGACTGTAAGAACAGTGTCTGGTTGGTTGTGTATGACTCATGCACGCACCGATTTCTAAGTACAGATGACTTTTAGCTGGTTCCAATAACTTTGTTGATATCTTGAGAAATATGTTTGTTCATGTTTCCTCTCATTTCACTGCAGTGTACTGTGTACAGACCTTTTAGTCACCAGTAGCAGTTCAACCATATCGATGAAGATTCCTCAAGAAAACTATATAATTGAAATGTTGACAAACTGCTTTTAATTGTAAGTTTTTGGAACTTTTGATTCAGCGAGTGCTGATTTCATTGATGATATGCAGCTATACAAAGTAGGATCCACAGTGAGTTGCAAATCTATGTCAACAAAACATAAAAAGGGTTGTCACAAATATAGCAGAATATAAATGTTTTATGTATATTTGCCAATTTCTTTTACACACAAGAGACAAAACTGATTTTGTAACATTACCTTACTATTGAATTAAAACTTGTTGATTATTTGCTAATTATTTTTTACTAGGAATGTAGTGAACTCATAGTAATTGAGTTTAAATTTTTTTACCAACAAAATGGATATTCAGTTTAGCATGTTCAGGGAATGGTGAATTAGATACGAAGTGATGTAAGTGGTATTTGCATTGTTACATTAGAGCACAGGTATAGTTTTCAAACTCATATTAGCAACTGTAGAAGCAATTGAATATGTTGTTTCCTAGTTAGTTGAATGTCACAATGTGAGATGTTGGAGCTTTAGAAAAGTGCAGTGTCCAAAAGTCTGGATACCAACCAAGTGGCATCATAATAGCTAACAAGTATTTATGGTAAAATATAACTAAAGCATACGCCATGGCATATGATGATAATTTCTTTTAACCATTTAAAAGATGATCCACGCTTGCCAGCATAGTTAGTGAGAAAGAAGGGCTTTTAATTGAATAAATGTACTAGCGGACTAAATCTCTTTGAAAACTAATTTTGAAATTGACTATGCGAAGAGATTGGTTTGCAATTTCAAGTTCAAGGGTTCTAAATGTTTTTGTTTTTTTTTTTTTGAATATTTTGCATATGAAAAATCCTTGGGATGAGTGACCTTGATACTCAAAAAATAGTTCAAAGCACCAAAATTATTAATGTTAAAGATTTACTTAATACAAAAATTTAAAAAACTTTAATGTCTTTTCAATTTTATTAATTTTTCATAAAGTTATTGATACTTTTTTTTTTGTTTAAAAGATGATATTTTTATTAAATTTTTTAATAATATTTTAAATTTAAATTATTAAACAAATTTAAAACATATTAACTCTTTTATGATTGTAACTTATTGGAAAATTTTAATTAACATAAATCACTTTTTAGGAAATCTCTAATCAATAGATATATAAATTTTATGTGCGTTCGATACTCAACGTAGTAGCCCTTATAGCTCAGTGGTAGAGCGTCAGTCTTGTAAACTGAAGGTCCGCAGTTCGATCCTGCGTGAGGGCATTTTTTTATGTTATTTTCAGAGAAAAAGATGATCGTTTTCATTTTTTTTCTTTAAAGGTGATAATAATTAGTATTAATGCAACTACTTTATCACCATTATTATATAAATTTAAACTTTAAATTAATTTCTACCACCAAGAGCAAAAATAGGTGTAGAAAAGGAAACAAATAAATCCCTCAATTAGAATTCAATTTTCATATTCGAAAGCATAAGCATATAAATAATTATTTGAACGTATAATTACTATTTTACAATAATTTAATGTTAGCCACATGTAAAAAATAAACTTTTTTCTTCTAAGCCAATATAATATATAATTAATTTAAACAACATAAGAGTTGAAACTAACTCTCCAAAATTAAAGAGAATAAAGATTTTATTAAATTAAATCTTGTTGATTAGAGATGC